ATTTCCAGGCTAACATAAAAATGTTCTGGAAACTCGTAAGAACTGCCAGGGGAAATACAAAACAGCCTATAATAAATGCTATAAGAGACGAGAATGGATGTATTCTGAATGATGAAGTTTCGAATTTAAACAGATGGAAGGAATACTTTGAAAGCGTGTTTATGAGTGAAGAGTCGTATGAATTAAATGAACTAGAAATTCCGAAAGAATTGGAAAGGGGTATGGAGATAAGTGTAGATGAAATAATGAAAGCAATGAAAAGCATGAAAGCAGGTAAGGCAGCTGGATATGATAGAGTATCACTCGAGATACTAAGGGCTGGAGAGGGAGTGGTGGCAGGCCTGCTGTACACCTTGTTTAATTTATGTTGGGAATTAAAACGGGTACCGGATGACTGGTGTAAAGCAGTTATAGTACCAATATATAAAGGAAAAGGGTCACAGCAGGACTGCAAAAACTACCGCGGTATCAGCTTGCTTAGTATTGTGGGTAAACTGTATGCTAAGGTGTTAATTGAAAGAGTTATGAAAGAAACTGATGGAAAAATTTGGGATGTGCAAGCGGGTTTTAGAAAGGGAATGGGGTGTACAGATCAAGTCTTTTCCATGCGCATGATTGCGGAGAAGTTTTTGGCCAAAAACCAGAAAGTTTTTTGTGCGTTCATGGACTTGGAAAAGGCTTATGACAGAGGGGACAGGAATGTGTTATGGCAAACACTGAACTCATATGGGTTGAGCGCTGGTTTGATACAGGCATTAAGGTCTCTTTATAGGGACTCTAGTGCTTGTGTCAGGATCAATGGGGTCTACTCGGAGTGGTTTGGCATCCAAAAGATGTCAGACAGGGCTGTGTGGCTTCCCCTTGGCTGTTCAACCTATTTATGGACCAGTGTTTGCAAACTTTGAAATATGAAGAATGTGGGTTAAGAATGGGCGAGTTAACCGTCAAATGCCTTTTGTATGCCGATGATCAAGTCATACTTGCGTCATCGGCGGCAGAGTTGCAAATGATGGTTACATTAATGAACTGGGAATTAAAAGAAAGGGGAATGAAAGTGAACGCAAGTAAGACGAAAGTGATGGTTTTTGAAAGAGAAGAAAGCAAAACGGTATGTGAAATAAGAATAGAAGGAGAGTTGATTGAGCAAGTGGATGAGTTTGTGTATTTGGGATGTGTATTTAGCAGGGATGGTAGATATGATAGGGATATAGAACGACGAGTAAATGCAGGGAATAGAGTGAATGGGGCACTACACTCAATTATGAAGAACCAGAATTTGTCAAAACAGGCACGTATGGTAATTCATAATGCTGTGTTAGTCCCTACTTTAATGTATGGTAGTGAAAGCTGGGTGTGGCAGAAGAAGCACGAAAGTAGAATAAATGCTGTAGAAATGCGGTCTTTAAGGAATATGCTAGGGTGTAATCTGAATGACAGGGTGAGAAATTGCGTGATAAGAGATAAATGTGGTATGCAAGATGATGTTGTGACCAGGATTAAGAAAGGAATGCTTCGGTGGTTTGGTCACGTAGAAAGAATGAATGAGGAAAGAGTGACAAAGCAAATTTATATGGCAGATGTGAACGGCCGAGTCGGGAAGGGACGCCCTAGGAAAAAGTTTATCGACCAAATTGGCGATATTTTGAAAATGGGCCACGTTAGAAGTACCCTTAACCGACGAGCATGTATGCGTAGATATATGGATGTAAAGGAGGCGAAAGAGGTATGTCAGGATCGTGCCAAATGGAAGTCCGTAGTCTCTGCCTACCCCTCTGGGTGACAGGCGTGAGTGTTTATGTTGTTGTTATGTTTATTTTTTTATTAGTAGTGCATGGCACAGAGTTAGTCTTATTTATTATGTTCAATATTTTATCACTGTGACTTATTTGAAAGCAATACTTGATTAGATTGATTAATTTCTTGCTTAAGCCTGAATTTGCTTTGATCTATGTGAAGATGACTCATCGTTTCATTTATTTCTAGAGCTAAAAATATAATCTTTAATTTGTCATATACAAATTTCATAAAGTATGTATGATAAAGTTAAATATTATGTATGATAAAATATTATAAAGTACAACTGAAATCTGATTTCATTGAAAATCAAATAGGATGTAATAACTTTATTATACTTTTAACTATAAAAGTAAATTTACAGCCTATATACGTCCCACTGCTTGGCACAGACCTTCACTCATTTCTGAGAGTTTTAGGGCAAGTAATTGTCCACTGTGCTGCCCCAATGCGTGTTGGCGAACTTCACATGTCTTTAAAATATTTTTTTCTTATTTCTCTGACATGCAGGTTTCCTCACGATGTTTTCCTTCACCGCCAAGCACGTGGTAAATCAGCACTTAAAATTTCATTGGTGCCGGTAGGGATCGAACCCGGTTTGTTCACATACTGTGAAATTTACAGCGAGCGCTAACCATCTGAGCTACCACGGCTCTGTTATACTATACTACTACTATATTTATTTATAAACCAATAACTTTATTTTCTTTTGAGTGTATTATTTATTAGATTACATATTTCAATAAAACATAATTATAAATTGTAGGACATAAATATGATGATGGTACAGCACAGATAATCCCAAGTGGTTTTATGTTATATAAATTACTATTAAGAATATGAAGACCATTGTGTTGTTGTGCAATGTGAAATTTGTGAGCCATATGCTACTTGATTTACAATTGAGCTGCAGCAGAGGCTCGACTTTATGCAATCTGCATATTTGAACCGGCACAGAACTAAGTTACATATATCTAGTCATAGGCAACATGTTTTGAAAATCACACTAAAATATTTAAGTCCTTATGAATACATACTATACTTAACAGGAACACCTTATTCAAAACTTTTAGCCTTTTACAATTTTATCATTAGTGTTTGAAAAGAAATGAAATGAGACCAAATGACTACCGCATTTATGCTAATACTTGTATTAAATACATAGTCACCAACTTCAGTTATGGAAGGTTATTGTAAATTAGTTTCCTAGTCAAATAACATTACATCCAATCAATGGGTGAAGGTCAGTTTTATTTTTAATGCAGATGGACAAACACTCAGATCCCAAAATATATGTTGCCCAACACATGGCAATAAAACATTTTGCCACTAATTTACTAAAATTCCATTTTGAAGAGACATGGTAGCACAGGTGCTAAGCGCTCGCTGTAAATTGCACAGTACTCAAGCAACCCGGATTTGATCCCCCCCCCCCCAATTTCTTTCGGCACCAATGAAATTTTTAATTTTCAATTTTAAGTGCTGATTTACCACATGTTCAGCAATGAAGGAAAACATTGTAAGGAAACCTGCATGTCTGAGAAATAACAAAAAAATTTTGGAAGACATGTAATGTTCGCCAACAAGCACTGGGGCAGCATAGCAGACTTTCCTTGCCTTAAAACCCTCAGAAATGAGAGGAGGCCTGTGCCCAGCTATGGGGCATATATAGACTGTAACTTTAATACTTATGCTGCGGAGTTCACTATTCAAATCTAATATATCTTTATTTTTAATATAATCTGAATATCAATAATATAAATTTAAATTTCAAGAACATTCAATATTCAAAAGTTTATTCATATCGTAAGATGTGAATAAACATCATTTATTAAGTCATACAAAATTTTTATAGTTGTGACACATAAGGATGTAAAAAGGTATAGTTTATTAAAATGAGCTAACCAAATTATTTTATTAGCTTACATTGCACAGTTAAAAAAATCTGATTCTTACTTCAGATCGTACATACACTACATATATTCTAGTCCACAGCTGCACATATTCAAGTATGCCTCCACAATCATCAATCTGGGCTTGCGGTATAGTGACCAAAAAGTTGATACACATGCCCAAATAATGCTACTTCTAGTTATAAGCTTGTGAGAAATGGATCCAGATTGTGCGATGCATTTCCTATCATGAATGAGTTGTCAATTCCTTATCTGTCAATCAGCAATGGCACCTTGATATGCAGTTAAAGTTACAATTTGGGGAAAAAGTCTCACCCTTATAATACTAAAGTTAAGCTTAATTTTAATGAATTAGCTAAATAAACAATAAAAAAATCAAATGTAAGCAACAAAAGGTTACACTTTTGTTCATGTAACATATAGTTCACAGTTGATTAAATATAATTAGATAAGGAAATAATGTCATAAAAAAACAACCTTAAAATTTTTACAGTAGTATTTTCAATTATTTTTGTTTTTCAGAGTTTGGAGTTTGTCATAATAGCATCATCACTCCGTCGTCCACCACCAAATACAATTAAGCTACCCCACCCATAACTCAGCATGGCTCTACCACGAGTACAATTACTTTACAATCTCATATAATGTATATATATCTAATTAATAAATTTCTATCATATTGAAATTAACTCCAGTATTTTAGCTATACATATAATAAATCATGTTATCATGTGCAAATAATATTAAATACTATAATTTTTGGTAAAGTCAATCATGATTTTCCAAGTTTGTTACTTACAAAATCCTATTATGTTTAAGCTAGTTACCCAGGTAAATGTTTAGCTTATTAAATATTGGTATTAATAGTCATAAAATAGTTAAAATACATTTGAAATAAACCTTCATATACTATATTTCAGCCATGTAGTAGTAGAGTAACAGAACCTACTACCCCATATTACACTGGTTGCCATAAGAAGTGATAGCGGGAATGAAACAGGAGATAGGCAACAGCGTCTTTCTGTTATCAACTTGAAAAAATAAAAAACTGTGGTTGCCTACCTGAATGCCTAGCATCTATGTTACACATGCTAATAAATAGGAATATAAAATAAAAAAATCCTAAATAAAATCTATAAGGGTGGCCTATTTTCGGCTCCTATATACTTATCAAATTGTTTACTGTTATATTCATGGTCCCATTAACATTATTAAGGTGCAATGATTTATGTGCAAATACACTGAAGCAAACTCGCAAAATTTAGCCCTATATTGAATTATTTTTATACTTACATCTGCTGGTATATGCCTCCACATTTTTCATGCGTCTAATTGCTGGATGATCGCAATCAGAGACGAGTGCTGTTACAGTGTCGAGCAAGCAGTCCACGTTGCCAGTGGAACGAGGATCACATAGAATCTCCTCCAACGCACACAGCCGTCGCCAGCGTTCCTCATCCTTTACCGCTTCCATTCTGAATCCAATTTTTGATATTTTCTGACACTAAGCGCCACCGCACATTCTCCTGATTAGCACCCCGACTGAAGACACCCCTCTCATCACGACACATCAACAAGCAGATATTGTTGTGTTATTTTATAATTCCGTCACTTCAAAAGCCTTAAATTCGAGGGGTAACTTGTTTCATTACAGAAAAATTTACTTGTTAGGCTCAAAATGACAGGAGATAAAGGTGGTTCTCACAACAAAGCATATGCACGTTTGCAAACATAACTTGTTCTTGGATAACAACAACAATTTTTCATACGATTATAATTGAAGACAGGTTAAAAACAAAATTTTAATTGGCACAACATAAAAGAAATATGAAAAAATAAGACAAAATAAAAACCGCTTGATTGACGAACGATGATCAAACAATAACCTGAAGATAGGAACATATTATTATATTCCAGTTTCCAGTTGTATTATTATCTATGGGGATTGGGAACTTATAGAACATGGAGTATAGAGATACCTCTCCATGTTATAGAATATAGGGTGCGTTTGGCAGAAAAAAGCGCTAGCAAGCGCTTACAAGCGCTAAAATAGTTTTCGGCCAGGACACGATTGCAACTTCAGTAGCGCTGACACAATCCGCCATTTTGCTTATTTAATTTGTTTGTTTGAAGTAGAGTTTATAAGTTGTTTTGTGCAATATTAGTTTTAAGTAATATAATGACATGAATAGACATATACATGTTATTAAAAATTCATGATTGGTAAGTTTTTAATATGAATACTTTACAAACATATATTTAAATTAGGTTAGTTTCCCCGGTTAAAACTAACATCGTGTCCTGGAGGAAAATAGCTACTTACGATTTGACAGCGCTTACCGATTACGATCGACATTTTGCTTACAAGTGCTTGCTAGCGCTTTTTTCTGCCAAACGCACCCATTTTTTGGATTCGATTTCGACTGGAGTATGTAATATTTCTCTATGCTACTGGAGGTTGAAACTGCTGGGAACTTGTCTATAGTTCATAAAAGATAGCTTGATCCATAGATTACTAACTAGCTTGATCTCTGTGACAGCTGTCAGTAAAAATCACGCCTATGAAGTCCTGAATTTCTTAATAGTACAGAAAGTACCTGTCATTGTCATACTTTATGGGCATGCACTAATTAGGTCGGCATGCCCATAAAGTATGACATTGACAGGTACTGTCTGTACGTAGACAGAGAAACCTATAGACTAATGATCGGCGTGGCCTTGAGTGAGAAAGGACGATAACGAATTTTTAGGTTATACCTACAATAATCTTTATGACTTTTAAACACATTTAGATATAAATTTTAATTGTTCTAAGAATTGAACTGAACAAGATTCACCAATCTTAAGGTCACAAAACACTTTTTTCTCACTTAAAACAACTTGTAAACTCCTTAAATCGCTATGCTGTTAAAGTTGTTTAGCAAACTCTACAGTGCAAACAAAAAATCCGGCACGGAGAAAGGGACAAACAATCACACCGCTCTATCTCATTTCTATGCAAGACGTATGCATAAATCTATCTTTTTCGTGTGCGAATGCGAAAGAAGGCGTCAATTTGTCTATAGGTTTCTCTGTCTACGTGTCTGTACTACTAAGAAATTCAGGACTTCTTAGGCGTGATTTTTACTGACAGCTTTCGCAGAGATCAAGCTATCTTTCATGAACGATCCGATAACTCTTTAAGTGAGATTCGTTTATCTCGTAGACAGAGAATTATCCCTATGCTCTATGAAGCGTTTTAGCTCAGTGTAGTTCATTAACTCCGAGTGTTCCGAGTTCGGACTCGTATCACATCATAATATAATTAAACTAACAAATTCTCATTCGAATATCTTTTCTCGACGTGTCGTCTTAATCAAGATTACAATGGTGGATTAGAAGTAATTGCCTTATGGCATTAATCCGCAGTACCTATGTATTATTTTTGTGCATAAAAGTTTAAATTAATAAGACGATGGTAGTAAATTTTCTGCAGTGTGCCTATTTATATTATAAACACAACTTACATTTTAAAAAGCCCCTAAAAATGTTTCAAAGTAATATAAAATGCAACTATCTCTTCTGTCTTAGATTATTAATGTCCGATTTAATTTGTTTCGATAATTAGGGGCAGTAAACGCAGATTTACTACATTTAGCAGAAAGCTGTGAATTTAGCAAAATTACAACAATAAGCAGTTTGCTTAACATTGTTGACAAGTTTAGCAGGTTCTAGCAGTTTCTTTTCGGGAAAATAAATCGATTCATATGTTTTTATGGGCTCCTTTATTTTTGTATTTCTTAACGCACAGATATTTATAAAGAGTTGGGCCATGAATTGAAATGTTTACTATCATGGAGTTCCGCCCACAATGTTTCTTTGAATCTTGAAAATAGTTCTTGTTAACAAAGCATAGAAGTACTTTTTCCAATGCAAGGCAATCCGGTACTACGTTCGTTGAGAAATTAATATTCTATTTAGTTGGTGTTTATTGTTTGGTCCACAGGTGATAAGCAACTTGTATATTATTTTATTTTTAAAACAGTATTAACTTTGAATCACTAATATAACCAAGAACATCGCAGGATGATATTTAATGAAAATATACCTAACCTCTTAGTCAGCAGCAGCAATAATACTTTAATGTCTTTAGGTAAATGGAGAAAAATGTTAATTTTTCAGAAAATGAGCACACCAGGTTTAATTCTCACCTGCACCAATGAAACTGTTAATTATAATTTTAAGCAATGATTTATCAAGTACTCGGTGGTGAAGGGAAATTTCGTGAGGAAACCTACATTTCTAAGAAATTAAAAAATATTTCGAAGTCATGTGAAGTCCGCCGACATACTTTAGGCAGCGCGGAAGATATATCCTTGCCCTAAAAGTTGATCGGTCATGAGAGAATACTTATTCCCAGGACATGAGAATATTTATAAATCTTTAATAATTTATGTAAATATTACTTTTTGCTAGTAATTACTTAAGATATTGTAGCGTGGCTAGCCCACGAGCGTGGGGTGTACGTTATGGTAAAAGCGTGCACAACCAAAGCCGATTGGTGACACATTTAATGTCTATTTTAAAATTAAACTTTAAATAAAAACCAATTCATTTACCACCACAAGAGATTCTAGTCAGAAACTAGCATATAGCAACTAAAAAAAACCTATATTATAAGATTACATTTTAAAGCTTAATGTATGTGCGAGTATGAACAGTAAGCACGGATATGAACAGTCTCTAAATTGCAAGAGCAACGTTATTAGTCACGAAAGGTTATGCGTTTGGTTGTTTCTCTCGACTGTATTTACTTGAATTTTAAGTTACCATGGTGAAATGAGAAGCGAAGTTATAAGGAAAATAATATTTCTATTCATTGGAAAATAATATTTCGATAACAAAATATTGATTCTAACAAAATTACTCAGGGTGTAAAAAAATGTTATTTTATTAATAAATATTGTTTTATAAATTCATACCTGTGTTTTATTGATCAGTTAAAACTTACTAGGGAATGCAAATCCCGCGAGTTTATGAATAAGAATACTGCGAGATCTAGTCAATTTTGAGATCTCACGAGACTGGCAGTTTTGTGTGTTTTCTTTGCAAATAATAACAATATTTGAATGAATAAGGAAAAAATAATAAAAATTAAAGGTATTATAAGATATTTCAAAAGACTTTTATGCATCAAACATTGTTTGACGTGTCTGTATATAATTTTTAATGAACTTCTAAGTAGTAAACTTTGACGTATGTATCTATCAAATAACATATGAAAGAAACAACCACTTTTCTCTTCATATATCAAACAAAAACCTTTTAGTAATAAAACAGTAATTTTATAACAAACAAAACAACGAGGAGTCAAAAAAACGAAAGTTATTATCTAAGTACAGTTGACTTTAAAACTGAGATGTTATTATCAATTAAATAAAAGTATGTCTACGCAGTAGATCCTTTAGATATTACAGATTAATTAACAAAATAACGCTTCGAATAAGACGTTTTTATGATCGAGTGCAATCAAGTTAAACTCGCGAGATCTCGCCCTTTTTTCGTTCGAGATCAAACTCGCTAAAAAAGGCCGAGATCTCACGAGAACGAGCCTATCACCCTATCAACCAAATATTTACTAAATACTTACCTTTAAAACTAATAAACGCATAGGCTTAAATTGTGATGCGCCATGATTTACAAAAGTATTTATAATAATTATAATCCATAGACCATTATTAATCACTCTTTGAGTATTAAACCAACTGGAGAGTTAATTCCTAAACGTCATTTTTATTACCCACGCAAAAATTAAAGTAAATACATGTGGATCGTAAAATGGAAAACTATCATACATATTTTCAACCTTTTACAACCACACTGCAGCATGAATGAAGGACATTCTTCTGGATTGCTTCCATAGGGGAAGGACTACGTTTTGATAGAATATCAGTGTAAAGTGGAAGTATGTACTCGTAATACCGCTTGGTAAGTAGGGTACGAGAACGGTAGACTGTTTTTACTGTCAACGAGGCCTTCAAATTTTGTTGGCTCATCTGATTGTATGTGACTATCGCTGCCCATGAACAACTGCAACTCCATGCACTCTGACAGCACTCTCCATGGTAAATGCGAAAGGAAATGCAAAGAGGTGCAACATTTCTTCGCAGCGCCAGTGAATCGAGTCGATCGGAAAGCCTCGGTCGTCGACGATTCAAGCCGCTCTGCGCTGGATGCGGTCAAGTGGAAGGAGCTGGTACTGGGGAGCCCCAGCCCAGAGATGGGAATAGTATTCCATGTGCTGCCGAACTTGCGCCTTGTAAAGTTGCAGGCAGCGTGCTGGCATGAAATACTGTCCCGCTCTGCTGAGCATGCCAAACTTTTTAGTGGCCAATTCGGCCTTCTCTTCCAAGTGACCATGAAATTGCACGTCACTCGATATGTCAACGCTGAGGATACCGATACTGGCTGAGGCAACAAGGGGAGTGCCTTGAA